GATAAGTTGTGTGCTACAGAGTCTTAGTGACACGTAGGTAAGGGTTGTGTTACGGGGTTTTACTAACACGGAGGTAAGATGTGTGCACCGGAGTTTTACTGACACAATGGGGAGTTGTGGGTCTTATTGACACGGAAGTACGTTGTGTTCAACGGAGTCTTAGTGAAACGTAGAAAAGATGCGTGCTACAGAGGCTTTCTGACACGTAGGTAAGTTTTGTGCTACGGAGTCGTACTGACACGGAGGTGAGTAGTATGTTTTTGAGTAGTGAGAGAATAGCAAACAATATTATTATACCAGGAAATCTATCGGGACCTAACCAACCACAGATTAGAGAACTACTTAGATTCTGTGACAAATTTTCACTCAACCAGCAGATATCAGAGCCAACGAGAAATGAAAATATTCTAGAGCTGGTCTTTACAAACAATGAAAACATAATCAGGGACATTAAGATATCAGATACCACATACTCAGATCGCAAGCTCAAACAATGATCAAGCGAGAGGGGTTATTCAGTAAATTCAATTTTAATAATAAAAGGATACTGGGAGACAATAAACAGGTAACTTATATTCATTTCATGGGAAACTTATCTAAGTAATACAAGTCCTACAGAAGGAATATAAAAACTGACTTCGGAAGCATATCCAGTCTGTCTGAAACATGTTCCTTTGAGGAAAGCCAGAAAGAGATCCAACGTAGAAAGAGAACGCAGACGACACTATAAAAAAAAGGAAAAAAAATACGGAAATACTTAAGCAGACACGACATTCCCTACAAAGAAGTGAAATTGAAACACATATGAGACTGAAAAAAGGCAGTTAGAACTGAAAGCAATTCAGGAAATAAAGAAAATCCAAAATACTTCTTCACATATGCAAAAGCAAAAACCACTGCCAGTATTGGACCTATTCGTACGAGTGATTGTTCATACACAAAAGATGAAAAAGAAATTAGTGAATTCGTAAAAAAACAGTATGAGGACATGTTTAGGATTCAAATAAACAACATGAAAGTGAAAGATCCAGACAATTTCTTTATGCAGGATATCCAAACCCCCTACAAAAATAACTGATATCAACACGAGCGTACTAGATTTTGAAAGAGAAATTGAAAACATGCCATGCACTCAGCTCCGGGTACAGATTCATGGAATTCAATATTTATAAAGAAATGCAGGGTGCCAGTAGCACAGGCACTCAGTATAGTGTGGAGGAAGAGCTTGGACACGGGGGAAGATACCAGATGCACTTAAAGTAGCAGACATAGCCCCTCTACACAAGGAAGGGAGCAAAACATTGGCAAAGAATTATAGACCAGCTGCACTAACGTCCCACATCATAAAAGTATTTGATCGAGAGATTAGGAGTCAGGTCACCAGTTTCATGGAGACCAATGACCTTCACAACCCAGGCCAACATGGATTTCGAGCCGGAAGATCGTGCCTCTCACAGCTACTTAATCACTACGACAAAGTCACTGAGGCATTAGAAGAAAAACAGAATGCAGATGTGGTATACAAGGACTTCGCAAAGGCATTCGATAAATGTGACCATGGAGTGAGAGCACACAAAATGAGGTCAATGGGAATATCTTGTAAAGTAGGACGCTGGATACTCAGTTTTTTGTCGAACAGGACACAAAGAGTAACATTCAACCGTATAAAATCGAGTCCAAGCGCAGTTAAAAGCTCTGTACCTCAGGGTAGCACCACTGCTTTTCCTTATTTTCATATCAGATATAGACAAAAATACAAGTCACAGCTTCGTATCATCCTTTGCAGATGACACAAAAATTAGCATGAAAATTACCTCTGCTGAAGACATTGAAAAACTTCAAGCAGATATTAATAAAGTTTTCGACTGGGCAACAGAAAATAACTTGATGTTTAACAGTGATAAATACCAGATATTCAGGTGCGGTAAAAATGAGGACCTTAAACATAATACAGGGTACAAAACACAGTCAAATGTGCCCATACTAGGAAAGCAGCATGTAAAGGATTTAAGAATAATGATGTTTGACGACCTAACGTTTAGGGAGCATAACCAGGCAAATATTGCGTCAGCCAGAAAAATTATCGGATGGATCGGACTGGTTGTTCACCAGTCTCCGTGGTGTAGTGGTAAGACACTCGCCTGGCGTTCCGCAAGCGCTTTGTCGTGGGTTCGTATCCTGGGGCCAGATTCACGAAAGCACTTACGCAAACACTTACGAACCTGTACATCTTTTCTCAATCTTTGGCGGCTTTGTTTACAATTACTAAACAGTTAATGAGCTCCGAAGCACCAGGAAGCTGTTTATAACAATAACAACATTTGATTGGCAAGTTTTCATGCTTGTAAACTGTTTAATAAATGTAACCAAAGCCGTCAAAGATTGAGGAAAGATGTACACGTTCGTAAGTGCTTGCGTAAGTTCTTTCGTGAATCTGGCCCCTGGCCCGGGAGGAATTACTGGGCGCAAATCCTTAACTGTAGCCTCTGTTTAACTCAACAGTAAAATGTGTACTTGGCTGTAAAAACGATTCTTCGCGGCGGGTATCGTATTCCAGGGACCTGCCCGAAACGCTACGCGTACTAGTGGCTGTACAAGAATGTAACAACTCTTGTATATATCTTAAAAAAAAATTACAAGAACTTTCAGACCCAGGGATCCCATCAAATTGGTTGTACTACACAAATCACGTGTACTGTCCCGTGTAGTGTACTGCTCAGTACTCACTTTCCCCTTCAGAGAAGGAGAGATTGCTGAAATAGCGAACATATACGGCATACATAGACGCAGTAAAGCACCTAAATTATTGGGATCGTCTCAAATCTCTCCAAATGTACTCACTAGAAAGAAGGCGAGAGAGATATCAAATAACATACTGGTGGGCTAGGTACCAAGTCTACACAGTAAAATAACATACTGGAGTGAACGATATGGAAGAAAATGCAGAATAGAACCAGTGAAGAATAGGGGTGCCATAGGCACAATCAGAAAGCACTTTATAAACATTCCACGGTTGTTCAGCGTCCTCCCAGCGAGCATAAGAAATATTGCCGGAACAACTGTGGATATCTTCAAGAGAAAACAGATCATTTTCTCCAAGGAGTGCCGGACCAACCGGGCTGTGGTGTATATGTGGGCCTGCGGGCCACTCCAAGCAAAAGCCTGGTGGACCAAACTCTCATAAGTCAAGCCGGGTCTCGGGCAGGGCTTGGGGAGTAGAAGAACTCCCTGAACCCCATCAACCAGGTATCAAGTATTTCTACCCAAACAAAAACTACAGCATTTCTACTCAAACAAAAAGTGCATTATTTCTACCCAAGAAAGAACTACAGTATTTCTATCCAAACAAACACTACAGCAGTTGTACCCAAACAAAAATTACCGCATTTCTTCCAAAACAAAAACTGCAGTATTTCTATCCAAAGAAAAACTACAGTATTTCTACCCCAAGAAAAACTACAGTATTTCTACCCCCTAGAAAAACTATGTCATTTCTACACATGGAAACTGCAGTATTTCTTCCCAAGCAAAAACTACAGTATTTCTACCCAAACAAAAACTGCATCATTTGTTCTCAAAAAAAAAAACAGCATTTCTTCTCAAACAAAAACTGCAGTATTTCTACCCAAGCCCAGTATTTCTACCCAAACTACAGTTTTGTACCCAAACAAAAATTACAACATTTCTTCCCAAACAAAAACTTAGGGATTTCTGCACAAACAAAAACTACAGTATTTCTACTCAAACAAAAACTAAAGCATTTCTACCCCAAAAACTAAAGCATTTCTACCCCAAAAACTAAAGCATTTCTACCCCAAAAACTAAAGCATTTCTACCCCAAAAACTAAAGCATTTCTACCCCAAAAACTACAGCATTTCTACCCCAAAAACTACAGCATTTCTACCTAAAAAAATCTACATCATTTCTATCCAAACAAAATCTACAGCATTTCAACACAAACAAAAGCTAGTTTTTCTACTCAAACAAAACTATAGCATTTTTACCCAATCAAAAATTACGGCCTTTCTACTCAAAAACTACAGAATTTCTTCCTAAACAAAAACTACAGTATTTCTACCCAAAAAAAAAGTATTTCCCCCCAAACAAAAACTGCAGCATTTCTACTCAACCAAAAACTACAGCATTTCTACCCAAACAAAAACTACAGTACTTCTATCCAAACAAAAACTACAGCATTTCTACTCAAACAAAATCTACAAGATTTTTACCCAAACAAAAACTACTGTATTTCTACACAAACAAAAACTATAGTATTTCTACTCAAACAAAAACAACAGTATTTTTCCCAAACAACAACTACAGGATTTCTACCAAAACAAAAACTACAGCATTTATACCTTGACAAGAACTTTATTATTTAAATCAAGAGGAAATTGTCAGGGGAAAGCGCCAAGCCATTAGACTATATAGCACATGGAAGGGGTTAGGATAAGGATCAGGGATGGGATGCGGGGGAAGGAATGGTTCCCAACCACTTGGACGGTCAGGGATTGAACGCCGACCTGCATGAAGCCATGACCGTCGCTCTACCGTCAAGACCACTGGTTGGACGGTGAACCAAGTGATTCAAAAGGAAACCAAGTGGTTCACTTATGTAGAGCGAAATTGGAATATTTAATGTTTCTAATGCAAAAAAAAAAAAATCATGAATCAGAATTCATTTTATCCTACCTTCGTTTTAAGTAGAAAAAATCCTTCACAAACATACAAGGAAAATATAACTGGTACTGGAGTGTGTTAAACCAATATTCTCACCTCACACCAGCGTTGTTGCAGGCATTGACTATTACTGTGAGGTGAGTGTACAGTTCTTACCTCACACCATCGTTGTTGCAATGGTTGACTATTACTGTGAGTGTACAGTTCTTACCTCACACCACCGTTGTTGCAGTTGTTGACTATTACTGTGAGTGTGTAGTTCTTACCTCACACCACCGTTGTTGCAGCGGTTGACTATTACTGTGAATGTAGTCCTTACCTCACACCAGCGTTGTTGCAGCGGTTGACCATGTCGGTGAAGGAGGTGAGGTTACCGGAGCGAGTGATGATGGTGTATGAGACGGGCTGGTAGCGCTCCCACCAGGGGCGGGTCCAGCCCTCCTTCTTCACCACAACATTCTCCGTCACGGGAGACACCTGCGGCGTGGTGTGGAACCTCAGTATTTATTGTTAGTCAACAACTCTGTCAGTGACAACCTGCACCTCTAGTCACTGCATAATGTGGGAAATTTCCACATCAAAATACAAACTTTAATATATCTGCTGTAAAATGTTGTTAATTTACATTAGTTAGTGTTGACCAAACCACACACTAGAAAGTGAAGGGACGACGACGTTTCGGTGCGTCCTGGACCATTCTCAAGTCGAATCGACTTGAGAATGGTCCAGGACAGACAGAAACGACGTCTTCCCTTCACTTCCTAGTGTGTGGTTTGGTCAACATATTTCAGCCACGTTATTGTGACTCCTCGTCTGTATACATTAGTTAGTCATAAAAGTTACAGGAAACTCCTTCGAAAAGTTTCAGATAACGGAGTTAAGAATCCAAGGTCATCTACTCATCGTTAAAATACAACTGTCTTAGGGCTGTTACACAATAAAATGAATCTACTAAATTAAATATATAGTAAATAGTTAGAGTTGACCTCAAACCAAATTCTTTCTCCTGAATCTCGAATGTAAGCATCCCCGGGAGAGGAGGCAGGAACAATATGGCTGCCTTTGTGTACAAAGGCAGCCATATTGAGTGCTGTGGTGAACATGAGTGTGTTGGCAGCAGGCTTCCCCCAACACAAATTTACTCCCAGCATGTCCTAGAAAGCAGTGTGACTCCAGTTAGTCACTATTTGCTGCCGAGAATATGCAACATCAGAATAAGGGTAGATCAGCTTTCGGTATTTCTATTGCACATAATTTGACCATTATTAGTGTAGGAATTTATCGTTATGCTGTAGGGAGACAACACCTGCAAGGGTTAGCCTCACTATTATAAAAATTTAATTTCACATGTCACATAATGATATGTGATAATGACACATCAAAGGGTGAAGGAATAATTACACATCAGTGGGTGAAGGGATAATGACACATCAAGAGGTAAAGGAATAATGGCACATCAAGGGGTGAGGGATAATGACATATCAGGGAGTGAGAGAATAATTACACATTAAGGGGTGAAAGGATAATAGCACTTCAAAGGGTAAAGGGATAATGACACATCAATGAGTGAAGGGATAATGACACATTATGGAGTGAAGCGATAATGATACATCAAAGGGAGAAAGGATAATAATTCATCATGGAGTGAAGGAATAATGAGACATCAAAGGGTGATGAGATAATGATACATCATGGAGTGAAGAGATAATGACACATCATGGAGTGAAGGAATAATGACACATAATGGAGAGAAGGAATAATGACACATCATTGAGTGAAAGGATGATGACACATCATGGGATTAATGGATAATGACACATCAAGGGATGAATGGATAATGACACATCAAAGGGTGAAGGAATAGTGACACATCAAGGGGATAAGGGATGATGGCACATCAAGGGATAAGGACACATCAAGGGGTGAAGGGATAATGACACATCAAGGGGTGAAGGAATAATGACACATCAAGGGATGAAGGGATAATGACACATCAAGGGGTGAAGGGATAATAACACATCAAGTGGTGATAGAATAATGACACATCAAGGGGTGAAGGGATAATGACACATCAAGGGGTGAAAGGATAATGACACATCAAGGGGTGAAGGGATAATGACACATCAAGGGGTGAAGGGATAATGACACATCAAAGGGTGAAAAAATAATGACACATCAAGAGGTGAATTGATAACGACACATCAAGGGGTGAAGGGATAATGACACATCAAGGAGTGAAGGGATAATGACACATCAAGGGGTGAAGGGATAATGACACTTCAAGGGGTGAAAGGATAATGGCACATCAAGGGGTGAAGGGATAATGACATATCAAGGGGGTGGAGGGATAATGACACTTCAAGGTGTGAAAGGATAATGGCACATCAAGGGGTGAAGGGATAATGACATATCAAGGGGGTGAAGGGATAATGACATATTGTGGGGTGAAGGGATAATGACATATTATGAAGTGAAGGGATGATGACACATCAAAGGGTGAAGAGATAATGACATATCATATGTGAAAGAATAATGACACAACATAGGGTGAAGGGATCATGGCACATCATAAAGTGAAGGAATAATGAGACATCATGTAGTGAAGGGATAATGACACATCATGGAGTGAAGGGACAATGACACAACATTGAGAGAAGGGCATATGATATATCATGGAGTGAAATGATAATGACACATCAAAGGGTGAAGGGATGATGGCACATCATGTGGTGAAGGGATAATGACACTTCAAGAAGTGAAGGGATAATGACATATCATGGAGTGAAGGGATAATGACACATCAAGGGGTGAAAGGATAATGACACATCATGGAGTAAAGGAATAATGACACATCATTGGGTTAAGGGATAATGACACATCATGAAGGGATAATGACACATCATGGATAATGACACATCATGGAATGAAGAGATAATGATAATTGCACATCAAGTGGTAAAAGGATAATGACACATCATGAAGTGAAGGAATAATGATACATCATAGAGTGAAGGGATAATGACACATCGTGGAGTGAAGGAAAAATGACACATCATAGGGTGAAGGGATAATGACACATCATGAAGTGAAGGAATAATGAGACATCATAGAGTGAAGGGATAGTGACACATCATGTAGTGAAGGAATAATGAGACACACTGGAGTGAAAAGACAATGACACACCATAGAGAGAAGTGATAATGATACATCATAGAGTGAAGGAATAATGACACATCATAAGGTGAAGGGATAATCCAACATCATGGAGTGAAGGAAAATGAGACATCATGGAGTGAAGGGATAATGATACATCAAAGGGTAAAGGAATAATGGCACATCAGGGGGTAAAGGGATAATGACACGTCAAGGGGTGATGGAGTAAGGACACATCAAGAGGTGAAGGGGTAATGACACATCAAGGGGTGAAGGGATAATGACACATCATGGAGTGAAGGGATAATGACACATCAAGAGTTGAAAGAATAATGACACATCAAGGGGTGAAGGAATAACGACACATCACTGGCTGAAGAGATAATGACACATCAAAGGGTGATGGAATAATAACACCTTAATGGGTGAAGGCTTAATGACACCTCAAGAAGTGATGGTCATCTTCCTGCCCCAAGCAGGCCCAAACAAGACCTAGGACCTCCAGCCCCCACCCCGCCTCCCCCAAACCCCTGTCAACTACACCACAGGAGGGCATGCCCTCCTGTGCCCTCCCTCCTTCACCCCTTGATGTGTCATTATCCCTTCACCCCTTGATGTGTCATTATCCCTTCACCCCTTGATGTGTCATTATCCCTTCACCCCTTGATGTGTCATTATCCCTTCACCCCTTGATGTGTCATTATTCCTTCACTCTTTGATGTGTCATTATCATTCCAGTCCTTGATGTGTCATTATTCCTTCACTCGATGATGTGTCATTATTTTTTCACTCCATGATGTGTCATTATCACTTCACTCCACGATGTGTCATTATTCCTTCACTCCATGATGTGTCATTATTTCTTCACTCCATGATATGTCATTATTCCTTCACTCCATGATGTGTCATTATCCCTTCACTCCATGATATGTCATTATCCCTTCACTACTTGATGTGTCATTATTCCTTTACTTCATGATGTGTCATTATTCCTTCACCCTTTGATGTGTCTTTATTCCTTCACCCCTTGACGTGACATTATCCCTTCACCCCTTGATGTGGCATTATCTCATCACCCGTTCATGTGTCATTATCCCTTAACCCCTTGATGTGTCCTTATCCCTTCATCCCTTGATGTGTCATTATCCCTTCACCTAATGATGTGTCATTATCCCTTCACCCGTTGATGTCATTATCCATTTGTTACGGACCCGAGTCCAGCGTCCGAGCACGGAGCAGTGACGACAACTCCATCTGTGGGTCAGCTCCCGAAACCCCCTCCAAATGGACGACGCCATCAAGTGAGAACGAGATATACCGGCCACAGGGGCTGGTTTCCCGTCTTAATCAGCTCGTGACATAGCCGCTGCTGACTTCTGGTGAGGTGGCGCTTAGGCAGCAATGCCATCTATGGAGTGGATAGGTGGACGTTTGTGTCTAAGCCGGTAAGTAAGGTGGCGTAGAGTGTAACTAGTACTGATGACGTGTCTGATTACAGAGTCGACCTGGGACTGCTGTATTGGACGATGGGGCAGTCTACCTAAGGCAGCCATAGCCTCTCCATGGGTTTGCTGTAGAGGCTGTGAGTCACCCCCCGGACGAACACTGTTGAGTGTTAGCCTGCCTATAACATGGCAGTACCAGGAATCGTCGTACCCCGGGCTGGCTGGTGGAGAAGACTCGCCACTGGGGTGTTGAGAGAGGAGAGTGATCAGCGGAATCACACGAGGCTCTTGCCTATCGGTCGTGGAGTGGCCTACGCAGCGGAGCTGATTGGAACCTGCCAGCTACAGACTGGATTTGTGGTTGAAGGCCTCCACGACGGTACACCTAGTGGGACTGTGATTTGGCTGGCCTGTGGCCAGGGTAGATTCGCCTAGAGAATCGAAGGATTCATCGTGGGCCACAAAGAAGAGAACCAGGGCTACTCATCTTGAGCACTGTAGAGCATCCTGAGTCTTCGGAGGAAGACAAGTTATTGTACATAAGTGTAGTTATAGCTACCCCGAGTGTGACTGATATATTTATGGTGGTGGAATATATATATATATATATATTTAAATTTAGTGCATTTGTATCCCTTCCCCTTTAATTTACTTGCGTTACGGAACACACCCCTCGAAAGCCACTACTAACTTGGGGCCGGATACCCAAACTCTAATAACATCAGAGAAGAACCCCAGTTGCGACCCAATAGGGCCGTAACACCATTCAACTCAAGATGTGTCATTATTCCTTCACCCGTTGATGTGTCATTGTTCCTTCACCCCTTGATGTGTCATTATCCATTAACACCTTAACCTGTCATTATGCTTTCACCACTT